TTGCTACGCTACAGGCCTTGAGGTGGCGACGCTATGCTACCGACCTTGAGGCGATGTTGTTATGCTACTGACCTTGACGTGGTGTCGCTATGCTACTGACTTTGCGGTGGTGTTGCTATGCTACAGACCTTGAGGCGGTGTTACGCTACTGACCTCAAGGCGGTGTTGCTATGCTACTGACTTTGAGGCGGTGTTGCTGTGCTAGTGACCTTGAAGTGGTGTCGCTATGCTACTGACCTTGTGGTGGTGTTACGCTACTGACCTCAAGGCGGTGTTGCTATGCTACTGACTTTGAGGCGGTGTTGCTGTGCTAGTGACCTTGAAGTGGTGTCGCTATGCTACTGACCTTGTGGTGGTGACCCCCCATACTTCTCACCTTGAGGCGGGGTTGCTATGCTACTGACTTTGAGGTGGTGTTGCTATGCTACTGATTTTGAGGTGGTGTTGCTATGCTACTGATTTTGAGGTGGTGTTGCTATGCTACTGACTTGGAGGCGGTGTTGCTATGCTACTTACTTTGAGGCGGTGTTGCTGTGCTAGTGACCTTGAAGTGGTGTCGCTATGCTACTGACCTTGTGGTGGTGACCCCCTCCCCCATACTTCTCACCTTGAGGTGGTGTTGCTATGCTACTGACTTTGAGGTGGTGTTGCTATGCTACTGACTTTGAGGTGGTGTTGCTATGCTACTGACCTTGGAGGCGGTGTTGCTATGCTACTGACCTTGACGTGGGTTCGCTATGCTACTGACTTTGAGGTGAGGTTGCTATGCTACTGACCTTGAGGTGGGGTTGCTATGCTACTGACCTTGAGGTGGGGTTGCTATGCTACCACCTAATCCCAACATAGCCAAATTATACACTCTTGGTTTTAGCATGGTAGCAGACTCATTTCCTCTCACCCAGTGTGTCACCTGTCAAGAAATACTATTCATTATTCGTGTTCATCATTGTAAGATAGGAAAGCGATGACCAATCATAAAACTATGTATGGAATTGGGGGAGGTTTTTTCTGAGCCAATCATCTTCTTTGGATTTGAGTGACAGATTTCAAATGAAAACAGTTTTTTTTTTTATTCTCTTTTTATTCTTATTTTTTCTCTGCAGCCCAGTTTTTACTGTATCACTCACCAAAGCAATACTACTGATGCAGACAACAGAATAGCATGAGAATGATTTATTTTGCATATATAATGTGTACATGTGACCTACCATGGCATCTTCTCCATGTACATTTTCCAACTTATCATCAGCTAGAACTTGAAGCATATAGTCTATGCACAAACAAACAAATAAATAAACAAATAAATAAATAAATAAATTTACATTGAGCAATAAAAAACCACTCATGTAATTTTGAATTGAAAAATTTATAAGTAAATTATGAAAACCATGAAAATGTATTTGTGGTTGCGAGAATATTAAATTCAACTACAACATTACTGATGATGTACTCTGAAACTTCATCCCATTCTTACCAACTGCATGTTCAAAGTTTTGAGAGCCAGCAATCCTGCTGCCAAATTTATCCACAAATTTAGCAAGTCTGTTGTAGCTTTGGTTCTGAGCGGCACCACTTACAGAGAGATTGATGATTTCATTGGCAATATCTACAGATGTACGAATGAAAAAACAGTTGTTACACAAGTACAATGTATTCCTGAAAGGCGGAATTTAATTTCATACTAACAAGATATGATTTTTAAGCCTACTTTGATGTGTGATTCAGAAAATTTGCATTCACTATGCTGAACTGATGTTAATGCAACATTGTATCAAATAAATACAAAAATAATTTTGTCAAACATCAGTGATTTATTACACAATAGTATGTATTAAAATGGTAATAATTTGAATACTAATTTACCTCACCTTTGTAACTTGCAATTTCTTGTTTTATCTGTGGTGGTACAGAAAGAAGTGCTGACCCACCTGATAATGAAAAAACAAACAAGATTAGTGTCATGCTGAGAGTAGCACCTCATTCATAGACAACATCTCAAAAATCTGTTTAAAGACTTTGTCAAGTGTTTATATAATACCTGACAGTTCTATGACTGGTGAATACACATATCAACAGAAGTTTAAAAAAATATAACGTACATGTTATTATTATACCCCAAGTGTAAGATCGTCATGTTGATTGGCTAGAATGTGGCGGTTGATAAAACTCATTATTTTAATATTTACTCAGAGTCAATAATGTAATCCAGTGACCTCAATTTAGTTTTTGCGCTTGCTATGTAGTTTACAAAAATGTTTGATTTATTTTGTGTAACTTGTGATATCAATCAATATTCATTTTAAAGACCATCAAATTGATTATTGATGTTAGCTGTGCCGCGGTCAATAATTTCCTCTCAGGGTCAAGAAAACTGAATATTTATTGATACTGAGGTAACTATATGTCCTCCACTACATTTTTTTTTATCTATTTCATAAAGAACTACTGGTACCAAAAAGTATATTACATATGTAAATTAATCCATGTGTTAGTTCGATAACAATTTTTAAAAATAGTAAGCGTGCGTTGGAAATTGTATTTCGAGGATCGAGTCACTAAACCAATGAATAATCCAAGCAAATTATACCTTTATGGGGGGGGGGAGAGGCCAAAAAAAAAAACATGAATATTTTGAAAACTCAGTCCCAACTTATTCAGGCTACAAAACAATACTCTAAATATGACAAACGCTACAACGATCAACGACTTACCAATTACATACGGGAAAACAACACATAGGATATGGACACAGTCGGTCCACATTGTAGTTTTTAACTTCACGGCACTTTCACTTATATATATAAATATTATAAATAATAAATAAGAACATTAGTCACGTAAAAACCATATATAGTTTATCAATAAGTTGTATGCAGCGGGGACGAAGGAAGGAGATAGGTGCTTGACTCGACAACTGGCGTCGTTCACCACGAGAAAGTCAGGTGAAATAAAGGTCAAATGTCATAGACGAAAAGCAGACACTATTGACGATGGAGGGCGCCAAAGCGTACGTTCAGAAACCGAGTTTGTTTTTATAAATGTAATCATTTATTTACAACCGTGAATTCAGGCAGAATGTTATTCAATTTCATATTGAGCATTTCTTAATTTGCATACAACATTTAGAAATGTCCCTAATATTTTACTTTTTCTCCAAAAAAAAGTATGACATTCTCACCCAGTGATTTGATGGTGGTGCAAATTCAATGAAGAAGAAATATGTACGTTCATGCAAGCCACCAACGGCGGAAATGAGTAAATCTAAATACAGAATAAATTGGTTGTTGTTACCGCCTAACGCAGATACACAGTAACGAGCCAATTACATTTTACATGTAAGGCAGAAAATAACAAGGAATACAATTTTATTTTGTATGTCTACCCATAGACCCTCTAAAAGAGGGTCTATGGTCTACCGGGTATATTTTGTCGGATATTTCGAACTGAGCACGCCACCAACGGCGGAAGCGAGTAAATCTGAATAGAGAAGAAACCTGTTTTTCCTTTACGCAGATATTCAGTAACAAACCAACTATATTTTTTAAATTAGAATACATTAAGAAATATTTTATCACTATTTCATTCTATCAGATACTTTGAATGGGCCCGCCACCAACGGCAAAAATGAGTAAATCTGAATAATGAAGAAAACAGTCATGGTAGCAGGCACAAACCCAATTATATTTTTGAAAATAAGATATACCTAGGACTATTTTCCCACACAATTGTATGTTGGTATATTTTGAGCTGAGCACGCCACCAATGAGAGAACTGAGTAAATCTAAATGCAGAGGAAAATTATCAATTTACTTGCACATCAATACAGGTTTTAAGTTTTACTAGGATCACACTGGAATCAAAGTAAAGCTTTGGCACAATGTTTGCGTGCTGAGGGTATATAAGAAAGAGATGTGTTAATGAAACAACCATAAAACTGTAACTGAAATGTAATCACTGTAAAGTGAATCACAGATAACAGAATGGCCACCAGTCGACCATTTTGAATTTTACCTGCAAAACAATGCAACTTAAATGTATGTAACAAGTTTTAATGAAAACTAGGCATAAATGACCAAGATCCAAATCCAGAATGGCACAAATGCTTGATGTCAGAGATGTAGATATGAACGCACAGACGTGATTCTTGTAAGTTCAGATTCTGAGCTAACAATATCGTTTTACAATGAGACTATTGGTAATAACTTAAATTAATTGTTGTTCTTGTTTCTCAGTTAATATTATGTGTACTGAAAATTTCAAAATAGTGAAACGATATACCTCAGCAAAATTTGGAGCAGAAAAATACTTGCACAATTTTGGTGGAAAAAGTAGTTATACCGGTACTACATAATGAATGTGTTTATCACAGTGACTATCTAATATAAATTACCGGCAAATAAATGCTGGGGATATGTATTACCGTTAATACTTGTATAATTACATTTCGTAGCTTCAATAGTACATAACATTCTAAAGGTACCATAGAGAATAATATAACATGAAGTACATAAATGCTCCCAAATATTACAGCAATATATCTAAATTTTGTTGGTTTAAAATACAAGCTAGGATTCTAGCAGGAAAAAAATATTTAATTTGACTTATATTACATACTAGTAATGAAAACATATCTGGTTACTGTGCTGAGTACCGGTAAGTAACAAACTCCTGGAAAGACATCTTGAAATTCATTCATCAAATATAAAATACTCATTTTCAAGATCTCCAAAAAAAATTGCAATGACAAAACTTACTCGAGTTTTCCTGGCCACAAGAAAGTGATGATAACGACAGACGTGGTAACCCTCATAGTTCTGCATTTCATTATGAGGAAGGTAAAATGGCACACTTAGCTGTGTTCAACTGCTAAATGTATCAAGTAGTGATATAAACTTAGACCTAGTAATCTTAATCATCTATTCATGTTTTTCCTTATGGAGACATCTTTAGATACAACACCGTACTAATCAACGTATACTTGAAATAAGTTGCTTCACTGCACGGTACATTTCACAGGAACATAAAACTTGTCAACAGTTGCAACATTTATACAAGTAAAGACCACAGCCGATAACGTTTTATTGAAAAGTGACTTACCGGTTGTGACTTACCAAACTGTCAAAACAATATCAACAATTTATTCAGTTTTCTTAGAATTAAATCTATTCAAGTCGTTTTAAAAATTATTGATTTAGTTGTCAATATTTGCTATTCCTAGCTTGGTCTAATAACTATGCTATATCAACTATTTTAACACTGCATATATCCATTATAAAACAACATATTCACAAATTTGGCATACTTACATATTTTATTTAAACTTAATTTTATTGTTTATATACAGATAAAAGATAATGAAGAGTCATCCATATGAGGTTATAATACAACTTCTATAGCTGACTTAAATCATGATTGTGATGTGTATAGCTACACATTATCAATTACATTGTTACAACAAATATAAGGCATACCGTACTCTTTACACCTACTGTACACTTGTAAATGTACTAGTAAATCTTACTGCAGATGACAATTTGGTTTTGAAATAAGAATCTACAAATTCAGCGAAATGAGCCAAGATAAATAACAAAAAATTTCAGTTAAAGTGCACAGCACAAACTGTAAAACCTCCTTAAAAATCGATATACATGTAGTACTTGCTACATTTACAGCAATTCCAGGCACTGATTTGACGCTGAAGTAGTGCTAGATGTTGATAACTTACTACAATAGGTTACACACTTTGTTTTCAAATTTACAGAAGTTGTTACAAATAATGCAGACAGCATGTCTGCAAATTAAAGCGCACCGGAAGGAAGCTCCGCCCATAAAAGTGGCGGTACATTAGTTTTGAATTTCTCTTCCAATAAACGATCTAAGCTCTCAACTTAATTTCTTACTTGAATTTGCGTCAAATGCTATTTCAGTGAGAGGGGCGCATAAAGTGGTGGCACTGTAAAGAACGTTATTTTACAGAACCAGCTGACCGACTGATCATGACAGAGTTATTGATCAAAGTGCATTATTCCTACTATGGAAATATCCGTATCACGCCTGCAACAAATTTCCTATGACGACTTCATCCAGTATATCAATAATGAAATTGAATACATAAGTAGAATGGGTGTTATTCGATTAATAGTTGTCGACAACGAGAACCAAAAGGTTGATGTGCCAACAAATAATCGCTTTAAAAAGCTTATCACTGGCAACACACGTTCGGGGAGGGTCGCCGTACACAAGTAGTTTTTGTTGAATTTCCCGTCCGTAAATGCGCGGTCGCAATGTTTTATAATATTCGACAGAGTCTATAACGTTGTCAGTTTCCTGGCAGGATACTCTCGGTGGTAACAACCCATTTGACGATATTATAAGCTGTCTGCTTTGAAACACCATTTCGATCTCTAATCTCAGCAAATGACAGTCCACGAAAATACAAATCGACAACTCTTGTTCTCACTTCAACTGTTTTTTTCGACACCTTGCTTATCCATCGTGGTGCTTAAACAACTTGCTCAAATGCCAATTTGTAGATACGCAATTGACACGATGACCGACCAAAAGTGACTGAAAGACAGGCGCGCCTTCAAAGTCTAGGTGTACCTGACTTTGTAGCAAATATAGAAAACATTGTGGGCAATATCTGTCAATCATTCCTCTGATTTGTAGCCGATGTTTATATTTCTAGTTACAACTTATGTAAATTTGAAAACAAAGTGTGTAACCTATTGTAGTAAGTTATCGACATCTAGCACTACTTCAGCATCAAATCAGTGCCTGGAATTGCTGTAAGAATTTTACGGTCTGTAAAAGAGTAAACTTTCACCGATAAAAAAAATTCTAGCTTGTGAAACTTTTCCCAGCTTCCATGACTTGTCTGACATTGAAATTAATCCTCGCCCCAGGGAGATATTCCGCGAAAGGTTTCCAGTTTTCTTCATGTGTCAGATGTTCCATGTCAGCTTGAAACTGATCGAACACATCAGATAAGTTTTTGGTATCGTTCAAATCATAAGCTGAAGTTCTTATATTGATCTTGTCTACAATATTCTCACTTGTACCATGACTACAATCTTTTTTGTCCGAGAAATCCAAGTGAGGATCTTCTGCAGAGTGATCATTGTTTACTTCAGTTGCCTCTTCTGCACTGGAGTCTTCAACATCCGGTTTTAACAGCTCATCTGTCAGTCCATCAGATTTCAGTGTAGTATTAAAACTTTCAGGCACAGGATTGTTTTTTCGAGGAGGTAGTATCCTTGGCACAGAATGATATGCCCACCTAGAGTCCCCAGACATTAGCATTATATCACCGCTTTTTAAAAACATTGCATCTGGTTTTACAGAACGAGTTTTTCCCCCAAGTAGGTACAGTGCAGTCTGACCAAAGCTACAAAAAAAGGAAATACAACTAACAGTGAGTATATGTATCATTTCCAAAAAAAATATCCATGTACATAGAAAATGGTCCTCACTAATTATAAGGTTTTAAAGAGAAGCAATGGTTAAAACACTTTTAAAATATCATGGCCATCAGTCTGCCATATTGTTTCATGGCAAAAAAAACGAGTCTACGTCATCATTTAAAGTTAGAATGAATTTTAAGACAAAATTGGCAGCCAGTCCAAAAAATGCAATAAATTTAGATAAAAAATTATCTGCAACCCAAATAGTGTGATTACCCTCCCAAGTTTGAATAAAATTACCTCAGCCTTTCACAAGAAATGTGTACAATTTTATTTCATCCACTAGTCTGCCATATTTTATCATATTTTACCATACATACAAGCACAAAATATAAGGATACTGACAGTATTCTGTCAACGCATACTTTACCTGAATGAAATAAGAGGAGCAGTCATGTCAAATTCCGCTTCATCCACGTGGCCACCAAGTGTGGAACTCATGTTGTAATAGTTAACGATACCAGCTTGGGCAATATACTGTGGAAATCCAATGATGGAAGCCATACATTGTGTTAGTAAACCAACATCAGTTGGTAATTCAGACTTTTTTCTGTCACCAAAGTATTCTTTTTTACTCCAGTTGTAGTGATATCCAAGGGTAACCCACCTCAGTTTACTCAGCAAATTTTCCTTGGTGGAGGAATCCGATGATGGTTCTCTAAAATGAAGAGACTTGTTGTGAATACTACATAAGATTATATATTTTTTCCTGGTATTTCTTCTTTAATTCTGGACCAACTGAACCTAATTTTCCATTGGCTGTAGGTCTTCTTCAAAACGTTTTATTAAAGATTTCAAGTATTTAATATCTTAAATTTGAAGTTTGCATCCAAATACAGAATATGAGTAATGTTTAAGTAAGATTCATTATATTTTCGGTTAAAACTGCCATCTATACTTACACATTTCTGAGCCTAGATTCCCAAATATCATCAGAATCATCCAATTCCATATACAAATCCATGTTGCGAAGATTGGGCACACGTGGAAAGTCCTGCAGACACCGCTTGACCCAGTATCGTTGATAACCAGGAAGGAATGGGTTGACAATGTAAATGAGACCTAATGTTGAGAATTAGAATGAAAACAATCAGATATGATTCCCTCAAATTCCAGTTCCCAAATGGGTTCAGTTGTATGACTATGCAGGGTGTAAATTTCATATTTCCTCATACAACTTGAAAGTACCAGTACGGAGAACAGCCCACCGATAAAATCAAGTACAGTTAATTCCTGAGTGTCACTGTGACTTCTAGAGAATCCCAGAGAATGTCACAATGAAGGAAAAAAATGTTATGACTAACAAAATTAATAGAAGACAGTAATTTGTTCTACAACATAAGACCGAAAATGAATAATACTTTGTTTGTTTAATCTCTTTTTAATTATGGAAACATACAGTGATAGTACCTGGTGATTTCTTCAGACTATATACTTTCCACTTATCTACTGGTGTTAATCCAAACCTTCTAAGTACTTGTTCTTCTCTCTTGAAATGATCACTGCTACTCAGAGGAAATTTAGATATCTAAAAACAAAGTAAATCATTTACGACATCATGTCAGACCACATAGTGAAATATTACCCTTCATACTCAAAATGGTCCAATTTCACTCAGTGTGCAATATACCACAAATAATGGTGATAAAAAAAAAAGAAATCAAAAAAAGCTCCTGTGTGCTGAAGGTATTTACTAGTTTCATTCAAATTTCATAGGTGGTTCTCAAGTTACCCTGTGAAACAACTCTAAATTGGTTAATTTATGCAAATTAGGTAATTAGGCCACACTGACTTAATTTTATGGATGACATCTGCGCGCGCATTAGTTTTCGCCTGTTCTCAACAAAAAAACAAAAAAAAAAAATTTCCGACGACGAGTCTCCACAGATTGGTTTTCTGTCCAGAACTTGCCGACTCATATTGTCGCAAAGCGCCGGCTTGTCGTAAAACTTGTTTTGTACTACCTCAAAACGTGCCAATTTTGACATAAATGACCTTCTGCATATGCGTATTGCGTTGCCGGGAATTCCAACATGGCGACCACGCCACCAAAATACGTGAGCATAAAAGTTCAGAGGAAAAACGGAGGGATTGTTGTAGACTGGTACGCAATTGATGTCAGCCAGGGAGATGTGACGTTTACACAGCTATACAAGAGATTGGTAGCGGCAAGCGAGTTTCGTCCAGACAACTTTAAGGACATATTGTCCAGAGTGGCTGTCCCGCGTTTCTTCTGCAATGATGAGAGAAATGGGAGAGGAGTGGAGGCCTATGGTGGCCTAAAAGACAGTCAGGCGACAAGTCAGTTCGACTGCTTTGTCCGCATTGAAGCCGACAAAACTGCAACAAAAGCAGAGGAAGCTCCTCGGCCGAAGTCCGCTTTTGAGATGAAGAAAAGTTTCTTATTATTTTTTATTACATTTTCTGATTTGGATAATTCGCTTGCACACACAGTCAGTAATATTTTGATCATATGACAAATTTTTATGAAGATACATGTACATAATTTTCTGCATCCAAATTTGTGTTGGTGTTTTTTTTTCAATATTGAGCCTCTTATAATTTTTTACATAGTTGAAGTAGGTCTAGAGCATTTGTGTCTACACTTAGTCTATCTGAAAGTGTCACTTTAAAAGCTGTAGTTTGAATGTCAAAGAAGTTAATTTCCAGGTTGCTGTTGACAAACTTATTGTTCATTTTTAATTCAATTTTTTTTTTCAATACAGTAAGTTTTTCTTTATTTAATATTTATTTATTTCTTGTTGTTTTTATGATACACTGTGTTCTGTAGTTCAATTCGTAATTTTTATACCAGCTCCGTAGTCCTGTGGTTTTAGCAGCAGTTGTTTTTTTTTCGCTCTCTTCCACATTAGATTTGGGGTCTCCAGAGGATGTCATCCATAAAATTAAATCAGTGTGGCCTTATTAAGCTTTTAACCATAAACTGAACATGTCTATGGCTTATCCCTAAGTATCTATGTACCAAGTTTCATTGAATGTGGTAAGTAGTTGAGATATTGGTGGAAAAGTTAAATATTGGTTAATTAATATGCAAATTGCAGTAACCTCTGTGATATATTTCTTTCATGACTAACCACATTCTCCAAGCATTGACTGACTGATTAATCAATAGACATTACCAGTATTAGGTAACAATTCTTTTATTTATTTCATTCGAAACTATACAATTTTACAAGTATTCCAAAATCACAAAAAAGTAATAATCAAGGTTTACGCAGTAGCACACATCAAATATGTATTTTTACACCATCAGTGATCAACTAAAAATCAGATGATTTGACCATGACCTGGTCATATTTGGTCATATTTCCCTGTCCAAGCCTCCCTGTTTATTACTTTTTACCTTTGTATACTCTCAGTGCAACAAACGCATTCCCTATATGTTTATAAATTTCACAATTCAGACTGAAACAAGAGGTTTCTATTGTTCAATTGAATCACATTGGTCCCATACACTGGTTTTTGTGAAGGCATGAATTTGTTTTACATCAAATAATTATAAATTATTGAAAACTACTTGTCCAATCAAAAGCCTTAATGGATGAATATTGCCTATATAGAACTTTACTGTAGTTAAACTTTAACCTCTCCCTTTGAACGGTCTTGCTTTTTGCAATTTAATGTCTTGTGTCAAATGCTACTGCTCGTACTTGCGTTTTATTCAATTTATTTTAACAAAATACTGTAATCTCAAGCATTTTAAACAATTTGATAGATTCTATCTTTTGCATTCATAGCAGTATATCGACAAATGATTGAAGAAACCACACAGACTCATGGGTAATGGGTGTTACCCGGTACTAAATGGTTTCTACAGTTGGATTTGAATGAATCAGAAGTATATTTTGAAATAAATTATTATTATTAATATTTATTTCAGACAGAGTCCATTCATTATTAACTTTATTACATTTTAAACACCAAATTAGAAATGTAAAATTTTCTACACGGTTGTAATAAAGCTGTTATCTTATCTTATCTTATAAAGTAAATTACAGAACAAAAAGAGAAAATGAAATAGAGTTACTGTTTATAATGTTTTGTAAATATATACAAATATCCATAAAATTAATTCACACCTTCATGCAACCCAGTGTACAGCAATTGCATGTATATATAAAGTTCTGGTCATTCTGGTTTGTTTTTATAATGATATGACATTCTTCAAGTTCAAACAAGACTTTTCTTTACTCTTTATAAAAATCGCAATCTAGGATGTATTGTACCTGTATATATTTTGAACTTGAATAAACTAATATCAGGACATATTCGTCTCGCACCACAATGCACTGAAATTTGAGCTGATCTACATATCTCATTCTGTTTCAGTTTGCCAGAAACGTGTTGCTGACCAATCTGGTTATATCCATAACACGATACACAAATTATGGCTCTATCGACTCAGGCGCATGAATGCCTACAATTAAGTACTAGTAATACGTAAATGACAACGTTTACCTGGTCCGGGAACCTGTCGGGGTGATCGAAATCGATCACTTCACTCAAATCTGGCGGTGGTTTCCTTCGTTTGTACTTTTTGTATTGTTTTTTGAAGGGATCCATGTCACACTCAATCTCTTCTCCGGGCGCAGCCATTTTGAACACGACTTCTTCCGAACATTATTTTAGAAGCTCGGCTTCATTCGGGTTATTAATTTTCGTTAAAAAACAAATTGCACGTTGAAAGCATAGGTTCAAATTCTGCAAATTTCATGTCTATGTGATTCTGAACTTTTTTTCTATTCACTATAAATTTCCCTGAAAAAGCGGTATATTTCGGATTAAATCGGAAGTGTTCGGCGTGCCCACATGTACGGACGACGTCCTTTTTGCGAATAGTAAAACATGGCAGCGGTTCGTCGTATTGGGCAACAAATACAGTCTTTAAAGGTGTATATTGGTCGAGTTCCGTGGACAGTGTCTCAAAGTAAGTACCGTGTGCGAAAACTGTGAATGCTTTGAGGGGCGTTTCGGGGCATGGGTAATATCACCATGGCAATCATGAAAATGTGATCATTGCGTCACTGCGTTGGCTCAGGGAGCTGGTTGACTAAAACAAGATTTTATATTAAGGGTCGAGCATTTGAAATCGTGGGGGTGGCTGGAAGATTTGCTCAAAACAAATTCATGATATAGACACCGAGATAAAAAAAAAAAAAACGAGTGCGACGTGTTACAGAAGAAAAATGTTGGCACTTTCAAGACAAATTTACAGATGAGGCGAAGCGACAAATAAAAAAATGCACTGGTCACTCCCCTCCGATTTTACATGTAAATACTTAGCTTATACAGTGTTTGTTGATGTAGACATGTTATAGTGAATAAATACATTGGATGTTTTTGATATCCCACACCTAATATCCAATGGGCTATTGATGATCTGATTGGTTAATGCATACAATTCAGGTTTGTGATGTCATCTCCAAAGATACCAAAACTTTTAATTTCAAATAACTGTTTCAAATGTGGTAAATATTAATGTGTCCACATTTAATAATTATCATTTAGAATGAATTGGTTGCTCAAATTAATAGAAACTGTAAGTGTCACTTGTGTGTATAAGTCGTGAAATTAGTCAAAACCTAGTTAATTCCTATATTTTACCAACTTCAATGTTGAGACACAAAGCATCAAAAAGAGTGTTCAAATGTAATACAACATCTGAAACATTGTGGGTGTGCAAATTCACACTTGTATTCCAGTATTGCAAGGTTTAGTTGTGTAGTTTATTTTTAGTGGTAATGTTTGTGTATGTAAAATCATCTCCAATTAAAATTGTTTCCCAAAAAAATGGTTATGATATGCCCGGTTGCGTTTTGAAGATTAACAAAACTTCTGGGTTCACGAGCCAGCCACTCCAGATGGCAACCATTTCAGAGAGTTGAATTTTCATCTGCTACATCCGTAAATTTTTGCTGATTTCTGTGACAGAAGGATTTAACCCTTCTGTATGTTATTCACATTTAGGGCCTACTTCTAAATTTCGAAAACTGTAGTATATGTATATACTAGTAGTCTATTTAACCATGGCTTGTATAATCAAAAACACTCCGGTGTATTCAGGCAATTATGGTATAAATACTGGTTTTAATAACATTTTTGCTGTAATATCACTTCTTGTTTGTTTACAGAGGAATTAAAAGATTATTTTTCACAGTATGGTCTAGTAAAAAGAGCAACTCTTCCATTTGTAAGTATTTGATACACATATTATCACAAAAACATCCAATAATGGTATAGTGTAATGGTGTGTAATAGTCTTGTTACAGGAACAGCAG